ATTACATTTAGTTTCTGCCACAAGTGAACACCAAACTGAACGCCAGCAACAATATTCTACAAATAAATGCACATTTGGGGGCACGCTGTTCACCAAAACTTTACTCAAGCCCTAGATTAAACAACAAAACAACCTAGATTATATTTGCCACAGAGTCACGTGATTCATATTGATAAAAGAGTTGAAGCTTTTCTCTGACAAGACCGGCATAGAGGCGTTTGTGTGCTGCGGTAACCTGATGATTCTTGTTGCTTGAAGCACAGTGCATATCACTTGCCATTTCATGGTCCCTGGTTCAGAATGACTCAGCGACTCGATCATCATATGAAAACCGAACACTGACCAGTGAATCAATGCGGACAAATAGATGCATAATTGAACAAAAACTGTCTTTTTAATTCTGCTTCCTACTCGAAATTAGAGACAAATTAAGCGATAGCTGTTTTGTTTTCAGAAATATCCCAGCACACACAGGCCACAAGTACTGTGAAGCAAAAAAGGACCACAGAAAATATGAGTCCATCAAAATAAAGGCCGAAATCCCAAGACAATTTTTAGCTAAGTTTGATAGTTAAATCATCAGTGTTTGCTTTCCTGGTAGGCCGAACATCTTGGGGAGGAAGACTGACAATGTTCGCCGTACTTATGATAACTCCAATCAACAAAGTTCCTCTAATAAGAAGATAAGCGTAAGCAAAGTGGTCGTACGACATACACCTGCTGTTCTCTCCGAGTTAATACCACCTCGTTCATGGAGATCGAATTCGCTTGGAGTTGGCGAATGCACTACGCTTATGCGTGGACTGCAACAGATCAGCCAGCTGAACCCCTCATCAATAAGAACTGCTGTCCCATGGTTAACACACTAACAGAAGACCTGCTGTAAACTATCGAAAATTCGAAGAAGGAATTTATCGTTGTTTGCTCATGTCTAGGTCATGGGCTACAATCGCTCTCCAAACAGGAACAGCCAGAACTCGGGCAGTTGCCTGGTTGAGGACAACCTAATCCCCGGCTATGAACAACATGACCGTGGGAGACAATTGCTGGTGGTACACAAATACAGTTGTTTTGTGTTTAAATCGCGAAGGTAGACGAGAGCAATTGCGCAAGCAATTTCACACACCGCTTAAACCAGCTCATTAGTATCCAATGTTTTGGCCAGTGTACTTTACTGAAGAATTCTATGGTTGTACTCAGGGGATATAGTGGGCAGGTGAACCCAAGGTTTCTGAAAGTCGGGTGCCAATAGTATAAGATACTACATAAATTAGAACAGAGCAATGAAACCGAAAGTAGTTATTCCACCATATAGGCAAGTTTAAATGCTCAGTACGGCTTGCTGCTTGATCGTTGCGAACAGTTCTGTACCAAGGACTTTGATTCTAAAGCTTTGCAACTCATCATCCCTAAGCTGCACTCCATACCCCACGACACAGTACCCACTTAACTGAGGCCAATAAGCAGAAAAGTACAGAAAGAAACTTCTCCTCAGACTTGGCGTAGTGAGTTAACCCTTCAAAAAGAGTCCATTTTTAGAAGGGGCTCGAAGCTACCTTTCATGAGAGTTCTCTTCTGGGGAAAATCACTGCATATGATAATGGGCAACCAATATATTGGATGAATATAATGGACGGATACCCGCTTATAACCATCAGACCGTAAGCGTCGAAAAGAACTGAAGTCAGCAAGTTATGAAATGTGAAGTGAGCTTGTATACTCAGAAAGAGAAAAATGGTGACTGCATTATGACATTTTGAAAATGGATTCAAACATGGTCGGTTCCGATAATTGCCCATTTTTGCTTCACTAAAAACTTTAGCAGATGCTGAATAGTTTGTATTCCAAGGAAATACGACATAGTCGTAGAGCTTCACTCTAGGTGAATGACGTTCTAAATCGAACCCCTCTCTGAGAGTCGTAAACGACTGGGAATGGTGTGGTTTTATACAGAAGCCGGTCTATTTTGATAACAGCATAGGCTTAATAGCAGCAAGCTGGCTTACATCGTTCCTTCATGCATTTGGAAATTATCACTCAAAGATCCGTTGTACTAAGTGCAGATGCCCTTCAACGGTGTCGTTCGCCATAAGACAGTGAGGGCTATGTGGATTTTGTGGACAATCATCAGTTCTGTTGGTATATTAATTACTCGTAAGTAGACATCATCATTCATGTGTTCATAGCTCCGTCCCTCCTCACCACCAAGCTTCCCATTGAAAACCGTTCAATCCCAACTTACGCCCTCCTATGGCCCGATGGGAGACGCTGGTTTAAACGAATGCCATTTGTGAAACTTTCATTAACTTATACGGCCCTGGAGGACTCTCTCGAAGAAGACCACGAAGACCACACTGTGCTTCATTGGTTTGATAAACCTGTCATCAGCATACAAAAATCGTTTTCGCAGAAAAGTTATTTCAAAAATTCAAATACTAACGGACATATGAATGGTGACAACAAAGGAAGGAGTATATGCCTCGCAGGAAGACAACAACGAATCCGCAATTTAAGGAAGGTGCTTTAACCCTATCTTGTAATGCTTATCTCGTTTAAACAACAATCAACCCATCGCTACGCTCCACCACGCTTCCTGACAACGCACTGATGATGTCACCTCGGTTGGTGATGAAGCGTTTGCAATCAAATTGCCCAGCTCAGCAAACAAACCAACGATCATCTATGCTATCTGAGTTACGAACATTTTCTTTTACAGAAAACGACGTTTTTTACGATTGACTGGATATGAAGACCTTCATCGAATCCTCGACACAATGCACTTTATGTAAAACTTATGTGATTTCTAAAGACGTTCACCGCATACCACCTTTCGATTGTTCTCTATGGAGGGAGACTATTTGGAATGATAACCTGTTTGTTAGGCGGATTCACTTACTACCCAGCTGCCCGTTCCAGTAAAATAGCACCAAAGCGTCTGTTGTAACAACAATGCAAGCTGTAAGCACCAGTACTAAACACCCCCCAGTTATGCAGCTTTTCATGTGGTTGCATGCCTCAACCTAGCTCACTTCTAGGCACATATAGAGCAGTAGACGCAAGACGTGAGAGAAAGAACCTATTAATAAAGCCAATCGACTGAGAGTGTGCAGCTTATGCAGAACGGCAGTCCTTGATTCCCAAACGCTGAAAACAAACTGAAATTTAACGCAGTTTTCGACAGGATATATGCTGAACCACACTCTTATTTATTTAACATCAGACTGAGCCCCATTTTCAGTTCGTGAGAATACAGAAAGGGGTCGCGGTTAGATGGACCGCAGGCCGCAAAATGCCCACTGCAAGTAGGTATGTAATGATGAGACTTCTTCAAGGCAGCTGCTATCAGAGATGAATGAGCAAAGCTGCATAAGTATTGTTTAATTTAAATATTCTTCTGTACTGATGGTCCAAATAACCAACCCAACCACTGATATTTTACTAATTGTAACTCAGAAAGCGTCCATGGAGAACATCCGCTGATTGTATGTTCCGGTAGGTCTCCTACAACCGGATGCTCCTTTTACTATCCACGATTACAAACGAAGAACTCAAACTGGTGGAAATAAAAAATCAAATATACAGAAACATTATCTTGGTTCCATATTGGTTTCAGGTTTTGCCATTATTGGTAACTTCCAGAAAGAGCAATTGAACATGTGGTTACGAAAATAACGTACAGCGATTTCATTACCCATCTTCGGTGATAATGTCAGTAGAAACTCTACAACTCTACAAAACAAAAATGTTCCATGGCCAGCATTAAAGGATTTCGTAGCGTGAACAGCAGGATGTTAGTAGAGTTCTTCTTTAGCCCAAACACACTTTCGGTGCCTAGCTGCCATGCCATCCGAAGGAAGCGCAAGGTCTGACATACTGTCAGGTTGCCCGAGCCTATAGAGAAGCAGTGAGTCGGAATCGAACCACAGATTTGCCGGTCTGTAAGTCAGCAGGTCATCCAATGAGCCAATCCAAGGTGGCTTACTGTCTGCCCACGCTTAGAGAGGTTGACAAGAAGCACAGTCTTTCGCAGTAACATTTATTGCGTTGAACAGTCGATTTGTTGTAAAAGAGGATGTTGCTCCCTACGAGTCAATATCTCCTTGGTTCTCCTGTAATTTTTATTTCCAAAAATACCAGTGGGTTTTCTTAACATGGATTTTGGTATTCCTTAACGTCACCATGTTGGTACTGTGAAACAAAACACCACCCAGGCCGATGAAAGGTGAAAGGTTTCATTTAGTTCACTGTTTTGAACTGACCATAGTCTTGACAAAAGTGGTTCATCAAGTACCAAGACAACGTCTACAAATCACCGTATCTTCCGTAAGAGCAACTAGCTGGCTAAGATAAGCTGTCTGGATATGAAAGGGTGGCCGCATTACCTGAAATACTTAGGAACTTAGTGTTTAGGAACATCCGTCTAAACTGATTCATCTACATCTGATAAAAAATCTTTTTTTCGAAAGAAACTCTGAAGAATAATTATGGAATGTTGGCAGGAGCAAAGGATAGCATCAATGAACTGTAGATTTAAATGCGTCATTAGTGAATAATAACCACCGAAGAAGGGCAAAATGAACATACCTTCTTACAGAAAAGCCGTGTACGTTAAATTTACCAGGGGACTGTTTATTTTTTTATGAAATTTCACTGGCACAAACAACAAAACAAAGACGGTATTAACGAGAGTCAACCCTTGATATGAACACGATTTCTCGGTAAACTATTGGTCTTGAAATTCTTCGAGATCACAGCGCTGAATAACCGGGCACACCTATCAGCCTTTAGAAAGACTACCCCTCAGAAAACACTATTTTCGTCACGTTCCTCGAGACAGTCACTCAACCATGAGATCTCTTCAGTTGACCAAATCCGAATAAAGATCCTGCAATCCCAAGCTGTTGCTCATCACTGGCGCTTGTTTGTAAAAGAAGATGTATTGATAGGGATTTTCACCTCCAAAGACAAAAAAGCCATCTATCAAACCGACAAACACATACCTGGACCTTGACTTCATACAAGAGTGCATTTTTGTCCGCATTGCCATTGAGCGTCGGGCTAAACAGGGCTGAAAATCAATGAAAGATATTTTCACCGAATACTTCGCTGGAAGTACGGCGTACATTACAATCGTGAACACACCCCTTCATACACTGATGCATGCGTCTGAGGACACGGCGAAACTCTGGTTCAAGAACAATAATTTTCGGTTGCGTGAAGTAAAAGCCGGAAAGCTCAGGTGTAAAGAGAAAGTACTGGGGTATTTCAAGTACTTAAAATGTCAGATAACAACAAGCTTGAGATTCTAAACTCTATGATATATGCAGGCTTTCAACAGCATAATAACACAAGAATACAACTGTGCCATAGAGAGCAAAGTTCATTACTAAGATCGACAATTAACTAGCTTAAAAATCTCTATATGATCCCAGAATAAAGGTCTAGCGCTTCGTTGCCCTCCTTATTCGATTGCTGGAACCATTCCAGTGCTCATCTTGACACCACGTGTCATGTTCATTAAGGTGCTGTCACAAAAGTGTATTTACAGCTGCATTATTTTCTACGGTGCTTCTCACAGCAATTAATATAGCTGAAGGGGGCACAAAGATAGCGTGAAATTGATTTTGTGTAAACTTTGGATAGTCAGCACTTGCTTCGCGGCCTACGTCTAAAAATATGTGCACGACAGTTTAAAAGTTCTTGGTGTGTGAATCATGCTCCACTGACCTACATGTTTTGTTTTGTACGTATGACTCGGTCAGCTCGCTCACAGTCGGGTGGCATTCGTGTATCATTGGAATAAATAGACAAACAAAAATAATGTTTTTGGCTCCACTTTTAAATCCAGCTTACGCAGCTTTATTACACTTATTATAGGGATTCCATTTCGAGAATCAACCAGCCAACGGGCGACCCAAAGACGGTTTTCAGTTTTGGAATGCTGGCTTTACAGGATGAGTATTACACCGGTATTTGTCTACCATTTTTCAAGAAGTTTGAAAGGGTAATCACATTCGTGGCATTAAGTATGACCATATTCAAAAACCGAACCACCATGCTGACTGGGATCATGTTATTCTGCTTTCGTCAACAACCTAACACAAGCAGTCGCAATAAGACAAGTTGAGGAGCTCAACTATGTTCCATAATGCTCTAATCAAGTGTCCAACCGTGGTGCTGAACGTGCTGCTAAATCGTAAAACTAGTTAACTCAAAAACAGGGTCTACTATTTGAAATACTGGATCCAATAATCAGATTTTTCATGCACGGTGACTTCTTTTTCTTCTGCTTCCACCAGCAGACATAAAATGCCTGGGAAACTGAATATTCCAGAGTTCTGGTTTTAAACGCCCTTGACGATTGTCACTATTTCGGGCAACATTTTTTGTCCATTCGACTACATGAATTTGCGGACCTTTGTTATCATAAAACTGTATGAATATGGGGAAAAACGGTGGAAGATGACTTGCGTCACTAATATTTCACAGAATTACAACCGCTTATTTTTCACAGCTCCTTTTCGCAGACATAGATGCGGCTGGTATTCAGGTGAGCTTCTCGTGATTAAATTTTGATTTGTAAATGAGTATATTTGTCAACGCTTTTGCTATTTGACGAAGACTTGGGGTTAGCTGACTAGCTCCAAGAAGTACAAAACCGATTGTGCGTTTTCCGGAAATTATTCAGCAATTATTTTTTCCATGGAGGTAGAGTGGACTTCACACCCTATAGAGAAAAACTAAAGGGACTAAACAACCACAGCCCATCCTTGGTAAGTGCCAGTAGGAGCCAGATGCAAAGCATAAAACATATTGAGGATACAGAAAGCGGCGCTTTTAGAGTGAATTATATTTTTCCTCGCGCTTAATACGTCTTTCGGTCTACAGTAGATTTCTGAGTGCACGCTACGATGGTTTCAAGATTTAATTCACTACGTTGTTTCCACCGATTAAATTCAAGGATAAGCTATCCGTAGACTGTAAGCTCGAAAATAAAAAAAACAGAACAAAGTAGGTATTTTTATACTAATGTATGCATATTACGTGGAAGTCATTTAAATATAAATGTGCACTAATCTGATGAGCTTTGATGGCAACGTCAGAATAAGCAAGTCCGAATGACAGAGAAGAGATCGAAACATTGGAAACATCAAGCAGCTGAGCTCATTTCCAATAAATGCATGTAGGCAATCATAAGGACTACACTAATTCACTTGGCTATGAATAGCTTGTTGAAGACTCAGTGAAAACTTTTCATCGATAACATTAAGATTGACAGCATGCCACATTTTGTGCCGTCAATGAAGTTGACTTCACAAGGCGATCCAGTGTATTGGTCAGCATATAAGCCATGCGTTGGTCACTGTATTACGTGGTTATCAGGCGGAAATTCCCATGTTGCCTTGCACCTGTGGAATGAACAAGGTCTTAACACAAACAAATCGATGTAATCATCGAGCTCATATCTTAGAGAGTGCTGCATCTGTGTATTTCTCATGCATTGTTGCTGTTAGTAGTACCACAGGAAGCATGGTTACTTGAACCATTATACCGTTTAGCTGTATCACCCTTTCGGTGTCCAACTGTCGTGTCATCAGGAGGGAGCACGAGGACTTAGATATCACCAGAGTGCCAAAGCCTAGACAGAGGGAGTCAACTGGCATAGGTTGGGCTCGAACCACGGACATTCTGGTCAGTAAATTCGCGCGAACAGTACCATGGATTTTCATGGTATTCTTTGCCCCCATTAGTTGAATAAAAAGTTCTTCACATTTGAGTTTTTGCCATATTTGTTCGGACACAAAACCATGTTTTGTGGGCAAAGGCTTAATGTGGATAGCGTACAACACAGCATATATAGTTTGCATTGTTCAGAAAATAACTCTGGAAAAAAAACAGTTGATTCCACTGGAAGCAGTTGTTTGCTGATCTTTCTAGTGCAAATTCTTTTGCTTTGGTTGATTTTTATTAGTTTTATGAAAGTAACCGTGAGAGATTTTAAGTTACTTTGGAACTCCAAGACGCAAAGACCAACACTCATCACCTGGCCACAAGTAGCAAAACGCAGCTTTGAATTTTCAAAATGGTGTACTGACTCGATACTCACATCAACACAAGAACTTCTGCCGCTCCTGAAATAAAACTTTTCTAGAATCCAAACCCCCTCCCGGTAAGTAGTTAGCAGTATGCCCAAAAGTTGTATGTACCAAAGCACAAGTTAATGGTCTGTCCGTTCAAATCACACACGGAAGGCATTCATTAATCCTTTATAAAATCTGAATAACAACCGAATAGCCCAGGTAAATGAATCCTCAAAAACCGTCGAAGCGAGAACGCTACAGGCGCATTTAAATTGCTCAATCATTCATGTAATTTGTAAGCTGTGAATTTTAGGTATATCGTCATCATTCTTTGAGAAACTATACATTTTTAGAAAGCCACCCGTCTGTGAACGTCAAGCATTAATTGTAAAAATTTCTGTAACCCCTTGCCTAATTGACTGCCGAAAGAACCAAGGACCCCTGTGAATTCACGACAAACGCCCAGAATATATTGATAGACAAAAAGATTTTTGGAATTTTTGTCTTGCAAGTAAAGCTAACGCATGATAAAAAGCCCAAAACTACTGAAAAGCTGTTTCGTCCGTAATGGATGTCATTAGCAGCAAGCATTTCACAAAACGCTAGGAAGTTTTTAAGCCGTGACTTCCAGGCTAGTAGCTTGAACAATCAACAGTTCAATCATAATCGATTAATAAGCAGCGTAGTTGACTCAAAAGTACCGACTTTTTAGTACAGATTGGTTTGACGTACAGGACGAAGTATCTACAGAAAATCCAAACCTCCCACGTTTTTAGCAATCTGTAATTAGTTTACAGAAAAAATCATTCGCACTATCAAAGAACCTTCCTACCTGATAAATCGTCATTCATGGAGGAAGGTAACATAAAACCACTGAATGTGAATTATGTGGTGCTATGTTGTATCCATATTCGAATTAATCGCACTTCTGCTCAACTCCTCTTGGTTTGAGAGTTGTGTTCGAACTATTATCCAAAAGGTCGCAATTAGGGTGAAAAACCAACAACGCTTCTTGGCCTTTTGGCACGGACTGACTACACTTACATAACAAAATTTTGGTTCAGAAGAGTTTAGTTTAAGTCCTTCCAAAAGGTGCTACACACGTATCACGTTTGCATAGTCGGGAAATTGTGTATCTGCAACCACATTTCATGGCTACGTTATTCACAAGCTACGAACTTTTTATATGAGCCCCTCAACAGTTTTCTATCGCAATTTTCCTCGCGGATCGGTCTGTTCATCCAAAATTTTCAGTTTAGCCGAAGATTTCTTTGTGAAGGTCTGATACTACGCTGTCTTACTGATACCAAGAAAATTGGAGCAAACTCACTTGAGGATAATTCTCTGCACTCAAGAGGGGTTACTCCGCGCGATCCTGTTGCATCAATCAGCAATATTGCGATTTATAAAAGCTGTATGATTCTCTGGCGACTATTGGTTCAGTTTACAATGAGAATTTTATCAGCTCGTGCAATGAGTCATCAGCACGTGTCCAGACATTGGTTCAGGGTTCAGAAACAATGGTCCATTGGTTCGCACCTAATAGTTGTCCGAAGTTGCCATGGCTTGTGAATAGGCATACTGACAAAACTGTAGCACAAGGTTCACAACCAAATATAATGAACGAAATATTCTACGACGCAGTGTTAGAAGTATAGAAATTCCGTAAGCCATATACTGTTCGGCAATGATGGTGGTAAAAAATATGGGAGTGCACAAGGCGCAAACCTTAACCCGTTTAGCAACACATTTGGCGAGAGGCACTTCACTAACTATTCAACGGAGCTCCGTCATAAGGTTGCAACTGAAAGTGGTTGTACGTGTAGAAACAGTTGCTTTAATTTCAAGTATAAAGGACACGAATCAGTTGAATTGGGTCAATCGGCAATTGGTTTTGAAGTGAGAATCTTGCGTACGATTACATTCAGGTATATATTGCTTGTAAAAATATTATTGTTTTAGCCACCGTGTCCTATCATCGAACGACTACTCTGCTGAAACGGTGTCAGAAACAGGAGTGCTTACAATTTTTGTAGATTATATCTGTGGTGGCGGTACCGAGTTTGTAAAGTGTCACAATAAGACCAGCAGTCTAAAGTCCAAGGAACTGGCTCTTATTTTACTGAAATAAGCAATCTAACTTTGTGGAGATTTCATCCTGTAAGTGAAGCCAATCTATGCTGAGAAGCCGAGAAGCACTGTACAGCTGTTTCATCCTTATTGGGAATCATCAGCAGTGCGCATCTCACGGAACTCCGAAGAGTCTCGAACCCGTGACCTCCCGGCTACTAGCCGGGGGAAACTTAACGACAAGGGTGTCATAACATGAGCATTTTTGTGCTTGACCATAGGCAACAAAGGGAAAGTTTTTCTTCTATTTTAAACGTGATTATTGACGATATCCAGAGATTGAATAAATGGTCCCGCTGACGTACGTCGTACGAAATGAGCTCAAGAATACAGAATAGACAAACAGACGGAGGGCTTCACATTTCTCGAATTTGAAAACATATAACGAATGACTGGGGCAAACTTCTACGGACAGAAGTTTCGATTAACATGACTGCAAAACCTTGATGACAGTTGATGTTGGGATGTACTAAGGCCAGCACCTGGGAAAACAACCTGATTATCACGAAAGAATCTGAGTGACACAAAGGTTATTGCATTTCACAGAGGCAGCAGAAGAAAGATATAGTCTAACTGCCTAATCGAAGATCCACGATGTCACCAGCTATAATCTGGTTGGGGATATAACCGGCAGAGAAACCTGAAACACGGGATTAATCCTGGAGTTCTGTCGACGGACATTACAGCTGTAGTAGAGGATAAATTTGGTTAATGTTAATGACTATTGCCCACCAGGCCATGTCACTATTACCACAACTTTTAGACTCTTCATTTTTGTGACCTCGGAGGAGTTCAATGAAGGCTTCGAAGGATTTTAATAATAAATAGGACCTAATTTGGTTTATATGCACTGCAACAGCGTTTTGAAGTGTCTCTTCCAGTCGCTGTCCGTCTTTGCGTAAGGTGTACCGCTTTTTTTAATACAATCCCCGGCGGTCCATTGGTTCGCACCTAATAGTTGTCCGAAGTTGCCATGGCTTGTGAATAGGCATACTGATGGGAGTATTTTTGAAACAAATCAGTGATACCTAAAGCGCCATTCAGCCGCAAATGAGATATTTATCATGCAGGTCCAATTTGTATGTGACGAACTAACGATAAATTGTTTCCGAGGTTGTGGTAATAGCATCAGCCCCCACCAGGCCTAGTAGCTTACATTACATGCAGCCAAGTATTGTAAAGAGTGGGATTGAGGAATTATATCCTCCATCATTAACAAGTGGGACTTTATTGTTAGTAGTCTTTTGCCATCAAGCAAATCTTCCAGCATCATCTCTGTCATAAGATCGTTTAAAGGAACGGTTTGAAAGTAAGGCCTACTCACCTCATGAAACTTAACAATCCTGAAAATGGCTTGAACGAAGCTGCACCAAAAAGCATTATTATCAGCTTGAGCAAGTGTACCAACGGGTTAGAACGGCAGAATTGCAAAACTTTCTGCTCTGAGCACCCACGACCTGGTCGACAGTTAATCTGGAAATTCTTCAAACCCGGGAATTCTGCTATTCATATTCATATGATTCGAAGGTTTCACGATGAACAGGTCAAAACAGCTTCAGACAAAACGGTTACCAACATGCTGATAAAATGGTTAACTCTGTGGGTGGACCGTGAATTATTTGCGTCCTATGTGGTGCAAACAACAAAACATTCTGCACTCACATGCTAACATCGCAAGGTCATTTTCTTATTACGCGCCGCAGAATTAGCGTCCTTTTCGCTCCGAGTAGCCTGGTTGTGAGAATCTTAGATGTAGCACTTCAGCAGTCGGTAAATAGGTGCAAGGCGAATATCAAAAATCTTCCGGCTAGAGGGATCAAACCGAATTTGTATGCGTGGAGTGCAAGTACACCTATTCACTTTCTAACTTAATAAGATGGCAACGTTTGACCTAAGAAACAGCAGCTAGGTATTCTCTAATGCTACAATGCTCTCAAGATTACCAGTTCATAGTGAAGAATGTCTAGATCTAATGAATTCCCGTGCAATTCTTCTGCTTCTGGAAACGGTGTGTAATATGATGGGATATCGTGCATTGCGGAAAACGTGAATCCCTTATGATATGCCGGTGTTTCAGGTAGTTCTGAGCTGAAAAATTTGATTCAGTTTTACGGACTCTGCACTGTGCTTGTGGACGAAGAATACACGATGGTCACCTTCTTAGTTAAGTTTTGCTCTGTATGTCCTTCTTGGCGGGACGAATTCCAGCTTCCGTCTTGGGACCTTGATAATTGCTATTCCGAGTTATCATCGCGGTATACACATTAAATATGTTAGTATAACTTGGGTGAGGTTTGAGAAACGTCAGTTTTGCAGATGACAGCTTACCCTGTTTGTTTAATTTTGTGATAAACTGCAGCAGAGACCTCCATTCTAAATCGAAGAGCATGACAGGACGAGCATGTCAGCGATCACAGCAGACAGCTGAATGAACTAAGCTTACGCACAAGATTTTCATGCATCTAAGGGTTCAACTAGCTAGATTAAAGCGAATTCGAGAACAGCGGACATATGGGACACCGCGCACACGTCCATTCTGACCCTTAAGCGTCAGTGGTCAAACTGGACGAGTGGAAGTTTTGAATTTTTCGGACGTTTTGATTATTACATATGTCCCCGAAAGAAATGTACGTTTTTCTTGTTGCGTAGTTTTCAACAAACTTTTGACCAACCGAGATGTGGGAAGAATGAGTTAGCTGATCGGAATGTCGCTGGCTGACAAACCAGGAACTATATATACTCTGTAAAGTTAGTACTTCAGCGACGATAGTCTGTCAGGTCCGTGAATACATGACTCACTGCATTATTTCATGTGACGCCCACATGGTCAAACTGGACGAGTGGAAGTTTTGAATTTTTCGGACGTTTTGATTATTACATATGTCCCCGAAAGAAATGTACGTTTTTCTTGTTGCGTAGTTTTCAACAAACTTTTGACCAACCGAGATGTGGGAAGAATGAGTTAGCTGATCGGAATGTCGCTGGCTGACAAACCAGGAACTATATATACTCTGTAAAGTTAGTACTTCAGCGACGATAGTCTGTCAGGTCCGTGAATACATGACTCTCACTGCATTATTTCATGTAGATGACGCCCACAGAGTAATATGCTTCAAGAATTTCGCGATGCACCCGAAGTGCATGGTGCCTCGATAAAGAACATACTGCAACCGGTGGCCCTTACAACATCACCGTTTCCCTAATCTGTCACTCTACAGCATTCGCACCAGCCTAATGGTATTAACTTAAGGCTGTCTATCAGCTCCTTCCTGCAGCGGAAATTGGGGACGCATACGGACTTCTGGGACGCACTTTGCTGACATTTTGTGTTTCCGTCAAAACCAATATCAATATTCGATTCTCTGTGGACCGCTTAACAAACATATCAGTGCGCCTTCTGGATGAACCCACTGCTAGGCAGAAAGAATCACGTAATCATATCCACACCCAACTTAGTGAGAAGCCTGAAGATCACCACTGCGAAGCAGCCAAGCTTGATCATCACAAATGTCGACGTGAGATGACGTGTGATCTATTGCAAGCCGGTGGTCAGGGCTGCTAATCGGCCGGTCAGAAAATGCACCAAATCCTAATTCTGTGTCCCTGCACCGCCATCTGTATTTGACCGCTTTGTCCTCAATCGCGGACGGCAGGTCGCCAGCCACAAACGTCGGGTCTTCGCGGAGCAGAACTTGCCCCTGAAAAATCCATCTCTTGGAGATGGTCTGGACTACTTGGCCTTCAGCTGTAATGGTTACATTTCCGAAAAGTCACTCTCCCTATCAATATCACACCTTCAACTAATAACTTCATCCCGTCTTATCCGCCTCACAATCGTGTGGTAGCATCTCGACGAATACGAGGTTGATGAACAACGTATCAACCACTGTTCAACACCTGTTCCGTGAAATTTTCAAGAACTCCATATGATTTCGTATTGTTTTCAGTCCAATTCGATGCAACTTTCAAACCATCTCCGTTATCCCCCCGTCGGGAACTTGCCATGACTATTTCGCCGATACTGGTGTGAAGCGACGGAACATTATCAGGCGTGTCGATAGGAATAATGTTTGGCAAGCTAGGTCTTATTCGACACGACTTTGACGCGTGATTGTGAGGCAGACAAAGCAGGATGCGGGCAGTGTGTGAAGGTGTGAAATTGGTTGTTTAAGTAATTAAGGGGAAGGGTAACAGTTACGCAGCGCCTGCAGTTCATTCGCAGTCCTGGTGCTACTTGGAGCAGACTGGCCTCTAGATAGGGAGATCACTCGATACAACGGAGTCACCTTGAGTAGTGGGAGGTATATATGCATTTTTCAGCATATGTCAACTTCCTAGATTTACATGGGTATACTCACAAGGATCCGAAGTGCCCCAGAACGAAGGGAAAAGCGTATCTTGTCATTCAACAGGTAACACTCAGAAAGTAGCCGTTTCCAACTAGGATTTCCTTTCGGCTGCAGTGTATGACGTACGCATTTCATAGAGTCGCAAAAGCAAATCGGCCGCTTTTCCAGGTGACCACTGGCATTTTCTAGACGGTCGTTTGTCACATCGTCAAAACGAAGCATCCTTGTTTGTGCGCGTACAGAGCATTTGCGGGTTATGTACAAACAGTAGACTGTAAGGCAACAGAAAAGTAGTGGGTTCTTGCGGTGCAGCATTTGCCGGGTTTGTTGGAGTCTTACAGCTAGTATTGTGACAAACAAAGACCTGCTGTACGGATTGTCCAGGCGAGGCATACGGTGTAATATGTACGGACTGTTCCGTGACTTAAAATGCGTGGATGTTCAGTGACGCATAGGTGCTTCCTGGTGACTTTTCGAATACAGAAGCAGCACAACCTTACATCGAACATTTAACTTACTGACCGCACTTGCGTCTCCAATTTACCGTCACAGTTTTCACGGGATATTGTTCACCTATCATATGTCCACAGAAATGTTCAAAATTTTCGGTGGGTTGTATATGTCCAGAACTGTAAGGACCTTGCGAAACTCATTGGCTACAAATCTCAGCACACCAAACGACGACATTCCATACTCCACAAACTCGAGTCTTACGGGATTCAAGGGAAAATCCTTCGCTGGATCAAGGCGTTCCTATCAGACAGGTCATTCCGAGTTAGAATAGGCTCATCCTATTCCTCTCCAGCGCCGGTCTCCATTGGAGTTCCTCAAGGCTCCGTCTTGGGACCACTCCTGTTTCTGATCTACGTCAACGACCTCCCAGACGTTCTTGCGA